ATCATCTACCGTTATTAGAAAGAATAAAATCACTGTGCTACTTGGGGTCACAGCTTTGCAATTTTACATCTCAGCACGGTGGAAGGAAAAGGGCTGTTGCGGGTTGACCCCAGCCAGCAGCTGAGCCCCGCACAGCCACTCGCTCACTCCCCCCAGGTGGGGTGGGGGAAGAGAATCAGGTTGAAAGTGAGAAAACCCATGGGTTGAGATAAAGACAGTTTAACAGGTAAAGCCAAAGCCAGGCACACAAGCAAAGCAATCCAAGGGATTCATTCCCCACTGCCCCCGGGCAGGCGGGGGCTCAGCCCTCCCCAGGGCAGCCGGGCTCCACCACACGTAACGGTGACTTGGGGAGACAAACGCCATCGCTCCGAACGTGCCCCCCTCCCTTCCTCTTCCCCAGCTTTATATGCTGAGCAGGACGACACCTGGTGTGGGGTATCCCTGGGGTCACTCGGGGTCAGCTGTCCCGGCTGTGTCCCCTCCCAACTCCTTGTGCCCCCCCAGCCTCCTCGCGGGTGGGGGGGGGGTGAGGAGCAGAAGAGGCCCTGACTCGGTGTGAGCACTGCTCAGCCACAGCTAAAACATCCCTGGGTTGCCAATGCTGTTTCCAGCACAAATCCAAAACAGAGCCCCATATTAGCTACTACGAAGAAAATTAACCCTACCCAGACAAACCCAGTACTGGAAAGCAGCTTTTTGTCTCCAGTTTCAGCAGCTAGCCAAGCTCTGCCTTGCTCAGCCTGCTTTATCTTCCATGTATTTTCCTGTAGTACCAACCTCTGTCAAGCTCTTATTATCAGCCCTTTCTTTACAGTTAGATAATGAGTGCAAACCCTTTACAGAAGGGTACTTGAGACAAGAGGATGGGATTGTTTATATGTATGGGAGTTTTTTGTTTCTTTTTTTTTAAACCCGCTGCATTCTGAAGCTATCTGAGGATCACCTTGTCTACGGAAAGATTATTTTTTTTAAAAGACAAAAACTGTTTCCCTTAAGAGATTGCTGCTTACATCAGAATTCAGTAAAGCCTTGAGATGATTAACAGAAGTGATATTGTATAGAGTATATGGTTAGTTTAATGATTGTGTTACAGCTTGTGATTGCTTATTTACAAGCTGAAAGGGAAAAGAGAAGTCAGCACTGAAAGAAACCCTGCAGCTGAACACCATGGGAGTAAACACCACCTTAAGACATAGACCAAAAGACTTTCCAACCTCAAATATGTAAGCGCTCAGCAGCAGCACCAGTGAGCACCACTGTGCCCAGGACTCTACTGCCATTACCTTCTCAGGTTTTGGGAAATGTCAGCTATTATTACCACCAGTATTACCATTACCACCACTGCCAGTCATGATGACAACCATGAGAGAGAAATACACCTCAGAAGGTAGGCCAAGCAAGAGAAGCAAGGGTTTCAACACAAGATTTCTCAACAAAATGAGAAACAAGGCACCTGCTAATCTGTCTTGGGCAAGCTATGTGAACCCAATCAACCATAAAATCTCAAGCGGTACCTGGAAACAGCTCGACATGCAGTTTAGTACTCCTTCAGTTCAGTCAAGATGTTCCTTTCCATTGCAGCATCCTCTAACTGTGATGAAGCAATTCTTTGCTGCAGAAAGGTCTTTCCCTCCTTCCTTCCCAAGCAGAAGGGGAAGGATGTGATGGAGGCACAAATATTCTCTAGAAGCAGCTATCACCCACAAAAAGCAAAGAAGGTGCTTACATCACGGAGCAGAAGGAGGGTGGAGCAACTGGTTATCAGAATCAACTTTATCTACTCGACCAAAAGTACGCTTGCTAGAGCTGTGTATCTGACATAAAACAAAAGCTGCCCCTGCCACCCCATTTTAAAAGTCTGGTTTTATAATTCTTAAGCAGATGTACTGATGCTATGGATAATACCTAGCAAATGGATATAAGGCATATTCTGCAAGAGTCTAGTAGTCTATGTGCTGTAAATGCAAATACACAAGTTAGTTTCTCGATACTTACAGGCTGAATTAATTTTTAAAATAAATTAATTTATTGCACTCAAGGCTATGCTTTTGACCTTATACAAATTTTCAAGAATCTGAATACGTAAATGATCAACTCAATTCTGCTCTTTTCATCCCATCCTCTAAATACAGATTATCTAGGTTTACAGAGGCATCAAGCCAAGCTGAGGTACCTAAAAAAAAAAAAAAAAAATCTTTTTCCGTGTCTTTGGAAACCTCAGAAATAATTTCTGAAGTATACATGCTCAGCAACTTGAAGCGCACAGGATGAATTCCAGAACCACATTAGCATTCAGGCAATCTTTAAATAATTAGGGCAAAAAATAATAAGGCAAGCTAATAACACCAGCAGAGTCCTACTTCCTCATAAGCTATAGGTTTTAAGGCACATTTTTACAGGTATCAATTCAAGTTGTGCTTTTTCTTTTTGTAAAACGTATTTTTATGTGAAAGGAATCAGATGCTGTCCAGTGGTATCAGTGTTAGTTAAAATCTGGATACACTTTTTTTACACAGATGGAGAATAATTATATTCTATTATTTTATAGTCTGTTATATTTATGTGATAAAAATGTGTAGGTGTCTCAAAGTCAAGACAGGTTTCTACATTTTCCAGAATAATAAACTTCAAGAAAACACTTCAACATAACTAAGGTCAAAAGACATCTAATCTAAGCATTAAGAATGCTCCAAGTTAAACAGCATTATTTTGATACTCTGCTGCTGTAAATATCTTCTAGAAAATTCTAGTTACAGTTAAGTCTAATTCTCAAGCAGTCAGATAAAAAATAAAATGCCTCTCTAGAAACCAAATAAAAATCCCCAATCTTTATATGGTCAAAACTGCTTTCTCAAGAGGAAAGACAAAGCAATGAACAAAGACAACTTCAAAGACAAAGCTCACCAAATATAGGTACACTTTTAAAAAAATGCTCTATTTCAACACATCAGAACAGTACATTACTTATACAGACACTCTCCTGAGGGAGGCTACTCTCTTCCCCCAAGACCAAAGTCAGATTCAATGTGTTTTATTGTCCCCCCTTAAGAATTAGGTTCTGAAAGAACATCCACACCTCTGATGTGAATTTCAAGGTTTGTGTTGGGTTCTTTTTTTTTTTTTTAAATCACAATCTTAAAGAGACAAAGTATTATTATGATAGGAAAAACTTTAATCAAACTATATGATCTACTGATCTGTCTTTGACTACTAAAAAAAATTCACATTATGAAACATAAAAGTTTCTGAAGTCGTAACATTTTCAGTATTTTCTCAGTGATGCATATTTACACTCCAATATCACCTACCATATTTATGAAGCCAGAGCCACCCAAAACTAAGCACTAAAAGCAATTAGGGAAAAAAGTCAAAATTGAAGCAGTAATGTGGTAACATTTCAAGCTTCTTACACCCTCTCCATCAGACTGTTCCTTTAATTTATGACAGTGATGTACAAAATATGGAGCCTGCCTAGACTAGGAAAATTAACTATTGCTAAAAACAGCCACGAGATGATCACCATCCTCTTGACACATATTGAGAATGGCTAGTTAGTTGCTTAAGACAGCGTATGGGGAGAAAAAAGCTGCGTACATTTACATTATACTTAAGTGGTAGTCTGCAGGCCCTTTAGGTCCTCCAGTACACGAGTGGGCTCCTACACTGAATGTACAAGCACGGGCTTGAAACCGACACACCGCTACTGCTCATCACAGAACGCAGAAACTCCCAGGCCAAACGCCAGGAGATGGCGCTGACAGCAGATGCTGAAGAACCAGCTACACCTGAAGAGAAGCTGACCTTGGCAAGTTCTTGACATGCCTCCGCATTCAGGTTCAACTCTTCCCATTTAAAACCTCAAGACAATTCAATTCCTTCCTGAGGAGCACTGGGTACAAGAAAGTCTGCCAGTGTTCTGATGGGCATGTATTTCAACTTCTTCTTGTCTCCTCTGCGGGAGTAAGGAGGCATCTCCCCAGTAAAGGGAGACTGCACGAGAACCCACTTCTGTCTGCACTCACCGTCCTCCTTTCCACCTCGCTCAGCTGCTGTATTCCTTGGCAGACAGCCTTAATACTCCTCCCCTCTTCTTCCTGCAGAGCCATCTTTCAGGCTACAGCAGCTGCCTACAACACGAGAAGCAGCAACTGAATGAAGAAAAGGTGCAGCGCAAGTCTGCAATTCAGTGTCATCAGACACAAATGGAACATTATGCACCTCAGGTGTTCAGATGTCCGATGTTCCAGCTCATGCATCACTTCTGTTCCCAGCTGGAAGAGGGGCCATGCTCTCCTTCAGCCTTCCTTCATGGGTAAGGTACTGTTCTAACTTTTAATTATTTTATATAGGAAAAAAAAACAACCAAAAAAACCCCATAAATCAAACTACTGGAAGCCATCACTTCTTTTTTTTTTTTACTTTTTTCTCTTTTTTTTTTTTTTTTTACACATCATTCAATCTCTCATGAAATCAAGACCATTAGCTCTATGGCAGAGGAATATACACTGCTGAGTTATTACAACAATAATTTTACGCCATCTGAAAAATTAGCTGTACGACAACTTTCCAGACATCACATTTCTTACATTAAAGATGACAGACCACTGTTGAGTCTGATGTTGTGCAAATACCAAACTTCATTCACTTGTCAAAGAAAAAGAAGTTTCAAGTTAATCAGCTGCAGATTACATTCTCCTGGTTTTCTTCATTCATTGTTCCCATAGTGAAGATATCCATCAAAAAAGCAAAGAATTATTTTTATTCTCAACAAAATTCTAAAGCTACCAGAAAGCCAAAACAAACAGGGAAGGGGAGGGGTGAAGACTACAGTAGTCATTAACATACACTTATGTGCACTACAGAAAATAACATCTTTAGCTTCTACTTTTACCTTAACAGGAAAGTGGGAGACCATCATTAAGACAAAAACATTGACTAGAGTTCATCCTAAAGTCTAATCAAACCATACAGTCCAACCATCCACCATTTATTTTTAACATTTTAATGAGAAATCATGTGATTTTTGTAATCAATTAATACAGCAGAAAATACTTTCGTATTTTTTTGAAGAAGTCAGTAGTGCTGTAAAACTCACTGTAGAGAGTTCACCACATCAATTACCAAAGTCTTAACAGAGTTATTTAACCAGCTCAGAGCATTGGTCTGACTCTGTCCAGCTACCAAATGCACCAGTCTACTTCAAGATAGAGATTCTTAGAATAAAAATAGTGGGAAATTAAATATGAAAACGACAAATTTCTTATGGACATTAAAGTTTTCTTTTGGTACATGTAGAATCCCTATTACGGAGAAATACCGAACTATGGAGAATCGGTATTTTGAAGTAGAGGGTATAGAGAGAAGATTCAGTCATTTATGAACTTATCAAAGAAATGCACTAGGATTTGCACGGGGATCCTTTTGGTTCCTATATCTATATGTCAGCCAGACTCCCAGAATCTGAAAAGAAAAACCAAAGACATTATTAAGCAGAGGGTCTCCACCCCATCTTCCATCAGTTTTACAAAATTTGTTTTAAACAAAATCACGACAATGAATTTCCAGTACACAAGTTCAGCATACTTTACTACTGCTAAAATTGCACGGCCACACACCATCTTTCTCAATTAGAAAAAAGCAAGGCACCTTCTCAAAAAGAATTCATACCTAGCAACAGAGAGAAGAACAAACAAGAAAAGCCAAAATTGTGTCCCCAGTGCAATGCAATATATTTCTCACAGGCATGTCTATCTTTAAATTATTCTTCCACCTTTCCAAATGACAAATATTCATAAGCCTATTTTTAGTGTAACGATAAACAAATCCTCCCAACTGTTTCCATTTACAGTTACTACTTAACTATAAGATTATTTTTCCCTTACATTTTCAAATCCTGTCATTCCCCCCCCTCAGCAGCTTCACAATTTTAGTAGAGAAATTGATGGAAAATGTCAGAGTGATTCTGTTTAAGTTGCTGTATCTCTCTTGCTGCTGTAATATCTACAAGCCTTTTGAAAACTGCACTAATTAGCCCAACAAGCGTTTTCACATGCTCTACTGTAGGGTTATGAAAAACCTGCTCTGAGGATTTTTATTCAATGATCAATAAAGCAAGTATCTGTGCCATCTGGATACTAAAGCAGAGAGTTAAAGACCTTTTTAACCTGATGTATAAAATACAGTTCACTCATCACAAAACTACACCTTTGCATTACAGGAGGCACCAAAACCAAAACAGCCCAAAGACTGTGTGTGTGCACAGGTGGGGGGAGACGGGAAGAACAGGGGAACAAGGTAAAGCAATGGCAGTCTTTTTATTACTGCTGGAGAATGGTAAACCTGAAGAGCTAGCTTTCCACAAAACTGAAACTTTACAGCACCACATTTTCATGTGGTATCTAGTTGTGGTTTGTAGTCTAAACAGCATAAAGTTGCAAGAACTCCCAGTGTTGAATAAAGACAAGCCCTCCTTTTGGCAGACTTAAGCTAGCTGATAGCCTGGAAAAAAATGACGTAATTAATTATTTGATTCCTGATATAGTACTGAGAGTTCCTGTAAAATTAATTGTTTCATAAAACAAAGCCTTACAAGTGGGGAAAAAGCACTCTATTTTCTAACCTCCTCCTTACTTACCTCTGTGAAACTGAAGAAGAGTCCTATGCCTCCAACAAATCTCAGCACCATTCCAGAATATTCTTCTATTATTGGTGCACATGGTTGACACTGGCGGCTTCTAAAACAATCCTGTAGAAGATACAGAGAATTGCACTCCATTTTCTGATGACACTTAATTGATTGAAAGCATCGAGTTAGGTCTAGAAAAGACTGACACCCATGGACAAAACTAGCAGTTTTACGACTCCAAAAAAGCAAGTATATAAATGACAATGGAGCACAACCTTTGCAGGGTGCTGTATGATTATGTTTCCAATAAGTTAACTAAAGAGCTTAGTACCATTGTAATGACTATCTTACGCATTTCTTAAACCTCTGCTTTCTGCAACTGTGAAAACAATTGTACACATTTGAACATATGCAATGAAGTTCTAAAGTTTTTCATGCTTCAAGAACTTACAGAGGAGCAGGTTTCATTTGGGTCAAAAACTCTGAATCCACAACAATTCAGATTTCTCTCAATATCTGTTCTCGCGCTGTTAGTGTTATTCCATCCCACCTCTAGAAGTTGACTCTAGAAGGCATAAGCAAATACATATTATATTAATTGAACTGGTTTGCATTTCATTGGAAACCAATATACTAGGCCAAGTTGATAACTCTCTAAAACCTTCAGATCCTGAAGTCTAACAGGATGATAAAAAATTATTTGAATTTTCAGTGTGTGTAGCAGCACCTACCAGCAACACAGTAATGGTTATAACTCATTTGCTTCCTTTCTTTTTCCTAAACCCAGTAAGAGCACTGGTAGTGGGACATGCAACTAATCTAACCGGGACTGATCAGACTTTAAACAAACAGCATGCTTACATGTAGGATGTTGATTAGTTACTCTACCCTTGCCTGCTTCTTATGCGGTAAGAATTAGTCTCCAACCCCATGAAGTTGGGTTTACTTTCACACTTAATGGTCACCTCTGTTCCTAATGTAGTCAAAACCTTTTCAGTTACACAAGAACAATTCAGTGGCTTTATCATCTTTACATTATGATTACTGTAGATTTCATCAGCTTATCTGGAATTGCTGAACCCATGATATAATAAAGGTATCATGCAGCTACACTTGTGACCATAAACCTACACAGGAAGCTTAAAATACAAAACAATTTTTAAAATAAAATTAAAAAAAAAAAAGACAGCTGAAAGTAATTTTAGAACCTAGATGTATTTTTATTGCTACCACAGTCAAACGGTGCCTAAGGTCTAGTCCTCATTTAAAAGCATAATGCTGATTTTCTTAAAATATGCGCTCCTCATTTCGTGGAAGACTATATATATATATAGCTCTCTGTGTGCATGTATATATATATATATGTTTATAAAATATATATGCATGTGTGTATGTACATATATATTTATAGTATTATGCTACAGATTAACTGAAAAGTCACAAAACTTTTCTTACCTGCTGTTCCTTGTTTAGTGCCAAACAGGCACAGGAGACAGAAAACTGGACAATAAAGACTAGCAAAAGAATAATCATGTACTGGAAATAGTAGTTAAGGATACATTCTAAATCAATTTTGCTTTTCTAACACATATGCTTAATGGTATTCCTGACTTCATTGGATAACAATATAACTATAGAAGTAAATTCTTACTGAATGTGGAAAAGATGACCCAAATAATGTTCCCTGAACTCAATCACCATAAATTATCTCTTTTTGGCTACTACCATATGTATCTGAGTTTTCTGAGTCGGGTATTTCTTGCCTAGCAAGACAACATGAACAGAGGTTAATAAAAGGAGCTGAGAGAGAAAAATCTACAGCCAATTCTTCCAGCTTTAGGATCTCATGTTGTCATTCCAAGATACTTAAATAAAGCAGTACAGAAAATACTTTTCTGGGTATTGCACATTCAATTTTTTTTTCTTCAATGGCATAGTATCATAATCAATTACAAAATATAACTTTAGCCTAGATTTTTAAAAAAGTGAGGGCTACTTTTGGAACACAGCCTCTCACACTTTTGGCCTAATGCATCGGAAAACAGTATGAAACAAAAAGAACAAACTTTGATACTAAAGATCACATTTTGAAAGTTGGCCACTGTCTTCACAATTTGGCTCCTGTGTTCAGAGCCAGGTACTTATCTCATGCAATTAAACACTTTGTAAAGTGGAGGTCACTACTTATTCATAGACCACAAGCAAAAAAACCCCAAAATTTTATCTGATCAATCTCTTTTCTCACCCAAACAGATTGACTTTGATATGCAAGGCGGCACTGCACACCGCTTACACAGCATCAGTAAGCATAAAGACCTACCCACTTAGAAGACCTACGCTCACTTCTAGTCTGGGTTTGCTATTAAAAACTAGGTATGAAAAGAAAATGCTTCTTAACAGCCTGTGTTGCCCACAGTGCAGTCCCCTGCCAGCTACAACCAGCCCACTATCTGGAAGCACCACCTTTCTCTACTGTTAAACATTAATAGTTCACGTACTCTAGCTCAGTGTAGGGTTGAGCACACAGTAAAGAGGCACCTGTGACACAGGGATCCATCATAAAAAGCTCTCAAAGAATTAAAATATTTTAATTTTTAAAAAGAGGAGACATAAATACTTCTGTGTTCAGATCACAAGGGGAAAAAAAAAGGAAGCTGGGATAAAGTTAAAGGGGAAAGAAGTTTAATTTAGACTGCACTTGACCAAAATAAGCCTGTGAATTTCTGTTCTGTTTCTGAAGCACCTTCCACACCAGTCTCAGCTGACAGAGCAGGTTGTTTACATGTCTTGAACCAAGCTGCAATCCATGTAATGCATCAGAAGGATACAAAGAATAACAATACTTGATGATGCTTCACCGCACCGATCAATCCGACTAAGGCAATAAGGAAGAGGAAGATTCCTACTGCAATTGCCACTCCAACAACTCTGAAACTAGAGATGAGGCCGAAGCCGATTCCCCATGCCGCAATTCCAATCAGCAGCAGGCTTACCAGCTGGAGGGATGAGAAAACAAAAAGTTAGTCTGCATATTAAAAGAGGTTCAACCTCTACACAGCTACATTCTTTACATAAAAGTTGTTATTAGAATGGTACAATTTTTCTTTCCAGTGAAAAGAGAAGCAGCACAACCCTGAACAAACCAGTCCTCCACTGCATTGTAGAGGTAGCTTCAGTTCCAGATGCTTTAAGGCACACACATTCTTCAACACTGTTAATGTGGAGCTGCTACAATTTAATCTACCTACAAGGCAAGCTACCTTGCATTGTCTGTGACTGGCTAGAGACACTACACTGAAGTGTGTATTATAACAGAACTGATCAATAAACTAAAAATCATAGGCTTTAATTCACAGAATGGAAGAACATGTGAAACGTTCTCTGAACATGTAAAACACTGCACTCTGCCAAAACCCACTGTAATCAGGAATACAGTTGTATTAATTCAGAAAGCTTCTACACAGTTGATGATATAATGCAACAGTTAATAAGGCCACAAAAAAATATTTTTCAGATCTATATCTCAAGGACTTCATGTAGTAAAACAATAAAGGTGCCCTGTCTCCGCTACGTATTTCTTCAAGAAAATAGCTCTACTATGAAGTCAATCCTATTTCTATACCCAAAACACTCTTACGCTGTTTCCTTCCTTTTAAAGACGGTATTCAGGGAAGGCAGGCAGAATCTGTCCCAGTTAGTTTACTGGGATTCATTGTTTATATGGACAGGAAGCTCCAGCCTTTCCTGTTTCCACATCAAAAACACAGAACAAAAACCAAAAAAGAATTCCAACAAGAAAAGCTGTAGAGAAATCTGTAATGAGGTACAGCAGGAGGGAAGCAGCAGAGAAAGCCAACCCAGATGTCCAATACCCAGATGCCTAACCCCCTCATTTGTTAGACCTAAGTGTAACATATCAGCCATTACATTCCCTGTTAAATAACACCAACGTGCAAGTTCTAACTTTCCAAACCCCTGACCTCACCAAAAAATACCCGGAAGTTGTATCATCATTAAAACAAACATACAAACAACAAAATGAATCCATAAACCCTTGGTCTGGTCCAACTACTTGGCTATATTTGATAATACTGAGCCAGCACTTAACACTTGCTCACCAGTATCCATTCAAGCAAGACATATCTCATGACTTTTTACTGCTTATTCAGAGGGGTGGAAAAAAGAAGAGGAAATTTCCACCTTACCATTTCAGTATACTTACCCTGAAGAAGGGCATTTTTGTTGGTTTTAATACCAAATATGGCTGTATATTTTTTCAACTTAAGTACCTTTTAGAAGACTGACCTATGTAATGCTGCTTTTGAAACATGGAAATCTAAGAAATCATCAAGAAAGCCAGTAAAACAAGTAGTGATGTTCATCAAGATCAAAACACACTGGATGTTTTTTTTCATGCGTTCACACAGGAGCACATCTCAAAAAACATTTTTACCAAAAAGCCAGTAATCCACACGAGAAATTTAAAAGAGTCTGCAAGAAGAAAAGGAGGATATTTGTCATACCTACACCTCTCTCTTACCACATGAAGAGACAAAAGAATGATATAAAATTCAAAAGAATTGTTCAATACCAGTAAAGTTTTAGGATTAATTCACATTTGTCTTTGTTTCTCCTAAACAAAAAACCTTAATCACATGTTTGTCTAAAACCAAAACACAGGGCCAATATGTCCAGATTCTAAATTACAGAGAGGGGGGAAGAAAAAAAAAATAATAAAAATAAAAATAAAATTCCTTGGCTCTGCCACAGACAGATTTCCTGAAGTCAAGCTGCACAAGGCTATAAACTTCCTGATGTTATTACATTAAAAATTAGCCTTGCTAGTCAGACTGATAAGTGCCAAGACCAACCTGTTCTGATCTATGCCCGTTCACTTTAATTCATTGTCTCATACCACTGGTAAGATTTATTTTTCCACAAAAGTGTCAGAAGTGAACAACAAAAGAAATCCCATTACCCAATTTCCAATCAGAAAGCGCTGGCTGACATCCGATGCTCTGCATCAACTTCTAAGCACCAAACTCACACTGTCACTAGATAGCTCTTCAAAGTGTTATGTTATTAAAAAAAAAAAAAATTCAAAGGCAATGTCAAATTTCAATTTATTTCACAAATAAAAGCAGAAGAAACTTTGCTCCTAATAATTTTCACCAATGCTTCTTTATTCTGCCTAAGCTATGACCGCAAATCTTTATTTTCACCAATCTGCCTCCAGATTAATAAAATGTGTACTTGTTCAGTTCTTTGCTCATTTCATAAGAAGTCTAAAACAATTAGGTTAAATGAGTTTTATTTTTAAAGTATCAAAATCAGAAGAAGAGACCTAAACAAAATCTGTGCCTAAACCAGCTACTGGATCACCACAGTGCATGAGCTGCAGAGTGTTGGTTACTTCTTGCTGCGGTTACTCATCTCAGCTTCCATTATTCTGACATGTCCATGAAATTACTGTGTATGACACTAAAAGTTATTACCATGACCCCCTGGCCCAAAAAGCTTTTCTGGAAGAACAGCCACATACTGAATCTAGAACTGCTACGGTTTTCAAGTGGAAAAAAAAAGCCTCCCTGGCTTTTAAACCCATTATTGAACTCCAGATGTTCTGGAATTAGGTGACCGGTTTTGAAAAATAAAATAACATAAAATAGTTTAGATTCTTTTGATCACATTCTAGTTTTAGAGACATCAGTCTCATTTTCAAGCTTTACCTCCATAATACCAAGGCTATATTTTCTCTTTTTCCACATGACAAAGCTGTCCATTGTCTAATTCCTTAAAACATCTGGAAATTCAGTATGATCACAGATTCACGCTACTGGGCTCTGGTTGGAAAGCTACGTGAAAACACTGTATCCAGTCAGGCAGACACATGATTTGCACCAAAATACCTATCGGCTACTCCAATAGTGGCCTCTTAAAATCATGGAAAACTGACTTCGTGCTTCAAAACCCAAATGGAGACTCTAGGTTTACAAGCCATTCCAAAGCCAGATTTAGCATTAAGTTCCTGACTTCTCTGCATGTTGACTGAAAGATGAAATTATGGTTATTCCGTCATTTCCACGTTTGGATTGGACTATCTGAATGTTGAATAATAAAACTATAGATATAGTTTTATAGTGCCATAATGTGAAACACTAAAGTAAATGCACACTATCACAAACAGGAAAAACAGCCTAAGCTGTTTTGGGAAGAGGTTTTACAAGTCTGTAAAAACAACACAAGGCTCATATCGTTAGGCACTGTTTAGCTGCTAGAAATGACTGCTCAACAGTGCTTATTCCAGTGTTTTGAAACAAAAGATTTAGATGTAATTTTCTAAATGTGAAGTTGCTAAAACTTTGTAGTAAAATGGACTTGAAACACAATTACTTAGTGACCCTAACTACTTTTAAATCAGTAACATATACATTCTAAACATACAAGCTTTATTTACTTATAAAAGGTCACCTATTTCTGTTAAATAAAGGAAAAGGGACTCTCTACAGAGCTTCTGAATGTCACATTTTATTTTACTGAAACCACATTTCACAGCACCAGAACTCCCCCAAAGAAAACAGCATCATCCTTGGAAGACTGAAGTACATGTGAAACTCCATTTTACCTGTATGAGCCTACTTACATAAAGCTAGCCTTGATTACTAACACTTGAAGTATTTGCTTGATAAATCTACCAGAAATACAGTATGTCCAGCATGTCGTGATTAGGACTGATCCTGTTTCCTGCAATATTCTCATCAGTAAGCTAAAAAACGTGGGTTGGAGAAATGGCCTGTTAGATTGAATGACAACAGGTTGGACTGCTGAGCTTAAAGGGTAGTAAGCGATGGCTCAGCAGGCAGCTGGTAGCAGGTAAGGAGCAGCACAAAGGCTGATACTGGGGCCAGTATTGTATGGTATCTTCACCAGTAACCTGGGTGATAAGACAGAATAAATTCTCAGAAAATTTGTGGACGATACTAAACAAGAGTGATTGACTCTCTAAACTTGAGGAATAAGCCAACAGGAACCTCATGAAGTGCAAAATTCTGCTCCTGGGGTACTTCAGTGAAGCCTGAGAACAGACTGGTTGAACAACAGCCTTACTGAGCTAGATCTGGAGATCAAACTGGTTGCCAAGTTGAATATGAGCCAAGAGTCTGCTCTCACTGCAAACAGGGAAAACCAAGAATAATGCAACCAAAGGCAACTCAGTGCTAATGAGACTGCAGCTCAAACACTGCACCCTATTTCAAGCCCTGCAGGTCAAAAGGAGTTTGAGAACCTGGATAGGGTCACCAAAATGTCCTGGAGCCTTAAGGATGATGTTTGAGAAGCAGGTGATGGAACTGGCTTTGTTTAGTCTGACAACGGGACACCTTAGGGATAATCCAATAGCAACTGAAGATGAAGGCACATTACAAAAACAATGGAGGCAAGCTTCTCAGCATCACAAGCAATGGCTTGGGAGGTTCAGACAGGACATTAGAAAAAACATCTGCAAGGTGGTTTGATACCATACTCAGAGCGGTGATAACCTTTGTTCTCAGAGGTTTTCAAGACTCAGTAGACAACGCCACAGCTGGCAAACAAATGTTATTTATAATCCTGGTCTCAGCAGGTGCCTGGGCAGATGAGCCCCAGAAGTCCCTTGCAACCAACACTCCCACACACCACAGCCAGCTCTTCCACCATGGAAACTATGCCACTCTCCACACCAAAAATCAAAGTTTTAACAGGCAGGTAAGAGACAGATTTAGCACTGACCGAGGACTCTTCTGTACCACCTAGCTCATTAAACAACTCCTAAACCCCATGTCAACAGAACACCTCCTTGCAAGCAGTAGGAAGCTCTCTGAATAAAAGAACAACGAGTGATTCTTCAGAAGTACCTACACAGCTTCAAAAATGCAAGTATGACTCTTGTTCTCAGAAGTGATTTAAAAGGTCCCGTTCACTTAAGGCATGTTTACATAGAAAGACAACAGGCATTAAG